GACGCGGCGGGGAGGGAAGCAGAAGTGCGGAGCGGCGACAGGATGCACCAGCCAAGCAGGAGGAATCGGGTTGAAGACGTGGGCACGCAGGTGAGAGCCGGGCTGGTCCCCGCTGCCCGAGCCAGCCGCCCTGGGCGACCGCCTGCAGCACGCTGCCTGCTCGCTGTCCCCGCACAAGCGGGGCTGGGGGATGTCACTATGCCCTGCCCGCATCCCCGCGAAGCACCTTCCCGCCTTCAGAGCTATAGCAGCAGCCAAGGCCTTGGGAATGCCGGAACCACCGTGGGAAAATGCCCTTTTCCTCACAAAATGAAGGCCAATACTATGCTCACCCCTGTTTTATAAGCCCTCAACGTCCCCTGGAGAAAATGTGGCACACAGGCAAGGTGACATGACCACGGCTGCGGGGAGCAGCAGTGTCAGAGACAGGAGCAAAGCATCGGCCACCAAACCCACCTCCTCGAGCCAGGGAGATGCCAGCCCAGCTCAGGTGCCCCTCAGCCGGGACTCGCAGCAGACAGCACAGCTCCTCCCCAGGGACTTGCTGTAAATGGAAAAGCCAAGCCCTGAACTTTAAGAGCAGCTTTGAACCTGTCCCACTGCACAGCACTGGCGAGACAAGTGCAGTCCATGCAAAGCAGCACCCGGATTTCTGCCTCAGTTTCCCCACCAGGACAACGAGGACCGGCAAAACACACGAGCGGGTGAACAACAGGGTGAGGATTTATCCTTTCATGGCAAAGCCATGAGGCACTCAGGTGAGGATAAATGGGAATGTGGTGAGGATAAATGGGAATTCATCAAAGCGAGCGGCAGAGCAGTAGAGGCCCCTCTCGCTCGGCTCACTGGCACTTCCCAAAACGTTCGCGTGTGGCTGGGGCTGGGGAGGTTGGAGCAGCATCGGAGACAGCGCAGGCTGGAGCTCCCCACACAGCCTCGCTCCTCGCCCCATCGCCTGCAGAAAAGGAAGAGCCGGCAGTGTCATAACACACCATCCTCTTCTTAATTAGAGCTCTCCACGTCCTGTGGCACAAAACTAATTAAAAGGCAGCTTGGTGCTTTGAGAGCCCCAGACTGGATGTGCCTGAGTGTGCAAGTGCCTGGCACCATCCCGATCCCTTCCCTCCTGAAGATCAAGTATCTCGAGGTCTCCCGGCGTCACCCCACGGTGTGCACACTCCCATGCTGGCATCCTCCCCGGCTGAGCCATGTGCCACGGCCAGTGGAGCCCTCCTGGGCCATGAGCACCCATCCACCCCGACCCAGGGCACCGTCCAGGAACAGCCACGGAGGCAAGGGCACCAACTGGTTTCCAGGCATGGCACAATGACACGGCAGCACCCCAGTGACAAGCTGCTTTCCTGCTTGGGACGAGGGGGGGCTGCGCTGCCCTGTTGCCACCCCAGGGATTGCACCGAGATGCTCAGCTAGGCCTCCAGCCCCTTTGCTTGCACATCTTGTGCTGCACCGTTGTGCCACAGGCCATGCCATTTCCAGGAAATCAACATCTGTGGATGCGGAGTGAACTTTGCTGCTTAGGCAGCCATCCCAGCAAAATCCCAGCATGGCTGGATGTGGCACAGATGCATCTTCCTATCACACGTGGGATTCGCCATGGCAGCAAACGCCCTGGGTACAAAGGCAGCTCCACCTTGCAAAGAATGGCAATGCCGAACCGTGCTGTCGCTGTACGGGGTGCTGGCACCATCATCCCAGCTCTGCTCCGCTTCCATGAAGCCTGGGAGGAAGGAGGGATGCTTGAGGGGGGCGGTGCGCAGCAGAAGCAGCACCCCGAGCACCCGGCGGGCTCCCAGCCACGCAGGGACCGGCCAGCGAGACCGAGAGACGCCAGCAGCCGGCGACAGAAACGCCGCCTGTCCCTGCGCTCTGCTCTGGCCACCAACCCGACAGCATCGCTGGCAGCAGCGGCCTGGACTCGGAACAGCAGCTGGAGCTGCAAACTCCTCCTCAGCTCGAACCAAGGCCTGGCTTTTGAGAGATACTAGAAGTCACTGCAGCCCCTGAATGCAACTCGGGGGCATCCACATACTTTCTACCAAGCTTAGAGTCACTTTTAGCTATGGTTTTATACCGTTCCTCTCAACACACCATGCACAAGATCCCCAGAGATGGTGGGGGACTCCAGGCCATGCACCGTGCCCTCGGACAGACAGACACATCCCTGCGTCACACATTTCCCTTCTGGTGCTCCCCGTGACGGGGCCACAGGCAGCGCCGAGAGTGAAGGGACACAAACTTCTCAGCCAGAAACCAGGCTTTGAAATCTTTGTTAAAGGCAAGAAAGTCAGATTCACCCTCAGAAATCAGTTTTTCACAAGTGTGTTACGCTACGGGCCACCACCAGAGCCCAAACCTCGCTCAGTGAGAGCAGAGGAATCGGACTGAGGGCTCCTGCTTTCCGCCCTTGGGATGGCTGGAGCAGGGGGAGCCTGGGCTCCCCCCACACCTAATCCCAGCAACGTGCTCTCTGGGGAGCTTCGGCTCCCGCCCAAGCACCAGCTACATCTTGGGGGTGTCACCCGGCCAAGCTACCCAGACTCACCTCGCTTCTCCCCTCCCCAGGTCATCGCGGTGGTCATGGACATGTTCACCGATGTAGATATCTTCAAGGACCTCCTGGACGCGGGCTTCAAGAGGAAAGTGGGAGTCTACATCATTTTGGATGAGACCAACGTGAAGCACTTCCTACAGATGTGCGAGCGAGCCCAGATGCACGCCGGACACCTGAAGGTAAGGATGGCCCCTGGGATCCGAGGCTGGGCAACCTTCTCCGATGCAGGGACATAACCAGAGCTATCAGCCCTGCTCCCTCCTGTCTTGGAGGGATCACAACCCCCAGACTTTGGGCAGTGCTAGATGAGTTTAGTCTATTTTTCCTGTAGCCAAAGCTGAAGGTGATGCTCAAATCCAGGAGCAGCAGGATGTAAGGGAACAGATGAGAGGCGGAAACAGAATTCCACCAGTAAAGCTGGATGCAGAAAGCCCAGGGAGCTGCTGGTACCCAGCCAGAGCTGGCTTAGGGGTAGAGGGGTGGTTCAGGGGGCTACAGCCCTGCTTAGGTGGGCACAGCTCAAGCAGGGCACTGTGAAGCCCAGGGCAAACCTATGTGCTCCACTCCTCCTGGTGAACAAGCCGGCAAGAGGGAAGGATGCTCTCCAGGGCCGGATCCCTGCTGGCCCCAGCTCCATGCCTGCTCCTGCCCCAGGGGCAGGACTCGCAGGAGCAACCGCCGGCCGGTTCTCTCGCTTTCGGGCTTTCCCGCAAGTCAGCGGCTGGAATTAAAAAACTTGATTTTCCCCTTTTCCAAAGCCTCCGCCCCAGCACGGAGCCAGGAGCGGAGCAGGGAGGCACCCACACTGCCCGCAGCCCCAGCAGCTGCCAAGGATGCCCTCCCTGCTCTCTCCCTCCCTGAGCAGCCCTGACAGTTGGCAGCAGACGGGGGGAGACACATCTCTGCCTGCCCACACCACATTCACCTGTCCCTGGAGGCGCCGGCAGCGGTGCACGACTTTGCTCCGGTGCACGAATCCTGTTTGAAATGAGGGAAGGTAAAGCAGTGCAGGGGCTCAGTCCCCAGCCCAAAGTGCCCCAAACCCCTCGTACATCCCTGTGTGTGCAGGGGGAGCAGAGAAAGTCACCCTGTGTGGTGCAGAGGGGCAGGGGAGAGGGCAGGGGGTTACATCAGCCTCAAGAGCGGGAGCAGGGACCCTTGGCCCAGCCACAAGAGAGTCCCAGGCTCTCTGCCGGGCGCAACACTCCTATCACCAGCATCGGACGCAAACACGCTGGAGCAGCCCAGCAGTTTCACTTCAGGGCTTCCAGACACCCCTTTCTCCCGGCTGTACTTCACCCACACGTTGCTCAGCCTCCTCTGTTGCTTGGCAGAAGGCGACGTCTCTGCGCCTGACGTCACCCGGCCGCGCGCGCTGGCTGCCAAATGGCTGGCAGGGAAGACCTATGCCCGGGCAAGCTCCCCAAATTTGCTTACGGTGAGGGTGAACCCCCAGCTGAGCAGGAACACATACGAGTCATGACACCCTCACACTGGGCAGGGACTCAGGGGGTGCTCAGGGACCCCCACCCTGGAGAACCGAAAGCATGGCCAGGCCTCACTCCTTCCCCAGCCTCCAAGCCCACCGCCTCTGCTTAATTGCTGCTCATGACAATTAAAGCAGACTCAGCTGAGCTTTTACCCACGTCCAAACTCCCCAGAGAGTCTGGTATCCTGCAGACTGCTGCTGCTCTGAGACCAGAAAAGCCAGAGCTGACGCACACCGGTGCTTTAATGCACGAGCAACCCGGTGGCAGGACTGGAAAAGCAGGAGAACATCTGCAGAGCTCGGCAAATGTCTAGAAGTTGAGATTTGCCACATATTGCCGGCAGTTTGCTGGCAAGGGGTGCAGCAGGGCAGGAGGCTGTGAGGAAATTAGGGCAGTGTCTGGGAGCTGCTTCGTAAGACGCTAACGAAACGTACGGTCGTTATCTCGGTGCCTTTTGCGCTTGGCAATTAGCAAAGCCGGCTTGGGCAAGGCGGTCGCTTTGTTGAGCAACGGCGAGTGCTTGGGGAGTGATTCACCCTGTCGCGGGTTCGGCAGCCGGCCATCGCGCCGGGCGCTCGCTCGCTGCGCGCTCATCTTGGGAAAGATTAAGTAAACAGATCTTAGCAGCAGCAATACGCCGGGAGCAAGGAGGAAGGGAAAGGTAACCGGCACCTTGCTTCTGGGGAGCTTTGTTCCCCTGGGTGTTACCCGAGAAAAACCCACGGCTGCTTTGTGCAAGATTTCGGCTGCAAGCGGGAGAGACTGATGCCTGGGGAGAGCTGGGGACGCGCAGGCTGGTGATGGGCAGAGGGCTCAGCCTGCGCACTACCACTCTCTCGGCATCCCCATCCGTAAGGACAACCAGGACAGGGATGGGAATTGCCACCCCAATCTGTTTGCCAGCCAGGCCCTAGCACCCCCAGTGCTGCTGGACACTGGGATGCTCAGTACTGGTTTCCCCACAGCCACACCAGGCAGAAAGGTGAAGACTAGGACCAAAAAAATCAAATGCACCAAAATAAAAAAACCTCTCAAACTTTTCAACTTACTGTGTAAAAACTGGAAATGCGGTCAGGAAGGGCTTTGCCTTTGCATCTCACTAAAACCAGTGTGGAATCGCCGTCCCTCCTGCCAGGGAGCGGGGAACAGGGGTGCCCGAGCTCGACTTGCACCCCGGTTTAGGGCTGTGCCAGGTCACGGTCTACAGGGAGTGCGGAGACTCCAGGGAAGCAGAAGAGGAAAGTGGGAGGTGGGGAACACAAATATTTCTGGTGCCTTTTTTTTTTCCCAAATCCACAACAAAACCAACCACAGAGGGCATGACCTCATGACGACACGGTGCATTTAGCCATGGCATTACCAGCATCCCAGCAGCAACAGGAGGAATGCAGGTGCTTTCATAAGAAAATATTTTCTCCCCGCCCAAGGGAGACCATTTGCAGTGAAAGATGCTATCTGCTCAGCTGCGAAAATCACCCTGCTGCCCTCCACGGAGAAGCACAGACCATGAGCCTGACTGACGACAAACCCCATTTTCTTGGCGCCAGGGCCATCCCGCTGTGCCCGAGCTCCCTGGGGGGAGCACACCCCACTCCCCAGCCACCTCCACAAGGACCTGCTGCAGGACATGCCCTTTAGGCCCACGGGTTTCATTTCCCACAGGTGAAACGATTCTGCCCCACTGTCCTTTTTTTCTCCCCACCCACCCCTAAAACCAGGGCTAGATGCTCAGATTAGGACAAGCCCACTGCCATCAGGCCCACTTGTGCTGTCCTGGGGTCACCACCACCCTCTAAAGCCCCTCGTACACGTCCCGCTGGGGAGGAGGGGAAGAATCACCTCTCCCATGGTGGCATGTGCAGAGATCTCAGGAGGTGGAAAGCGTTTGGCAGCACCGTTCCATGCTGCTCACCCACAGACGCAAATAGTTCAAGAGGTAGAAAACACTGCCCGGCACACAGGCAAGGCAGGGAATTCTTGGAGCCAAGTCCACAGCTTGCTGCATGGCCCTGGGCAAGTTATTTTATCTTCCCATCCCTCTGGCCCCCTCTGATCCGGCCACAGAGAGTGTTTCCCACTGTGGAGCACCCACGGGGCATCGATGGAGGGGTAAAGGATGCTCTGAAGAACAGCCCTTTGCTCCTGCTCACGCTTCTGCCTTTGCCTTGCAGAACCTGCGAGTCCGGAGCACGGGCGGGACGGAGTTTTTCACGCGCTCGGCTACCAAGTTCAAAGGGGCTTTGGCCCAGAAGTTCATGTTTGTGGACGGGGACCGGGCTGTGTGCGGATCCTACAGGTAATGAGCGGTGTCTCCTATTGCCCACCCCACGGAGGCATCGGTCAAAGGACCAAGTCCTGGCCCCTGCCCAGCATGGCCCCAGACCCCTATCCCAGACCTGCTCCCCTCCTCCTAAACTGGGAGATGATTCTGCAAGGCCAACCTGAGATTTGGAGAGGGACCCAAGGGGTCCCACCACTCCACAGCTGGGTCCAGGATACCTTCTCGGACACACCACGTGCTTCCAGCAGTGGATGCAATGAGCACAGGGAGGGACAAGACCACCCACCGCAGCCAGTCCCAATTCCCTGCTGACCTCAGCCTTTCCAGTCAAACATTTCCTACCCACAGCGTTTTCCAATTGGTCCAAACAAAAACTTACTTTGCTAGAAAGAGATTGGTCTCAGTAAGCTTTTCAGCTCTAAAAGACAAGTTTCATAGACATGGAACTGAAACACTTCCCACTTTCTGGCCACAACAAAACACACATCCCTTGACGCGTCGCTTTTCTTAACTATCACCCAAACTGAGAAAGGAAAATTGGCCAGCACTAGAGTGAAAACGCCATTGGCCCTGCAGAAAACACCTTTTATTTTTACTTCAAGTTCCAATGTGCTCAAGACTTCAACCCCTCGTTCTAATTTGGGATGAGAGCTATTTCTTCGATCTCATTATTATTAATGTTTACAGTAAGATCATGTCCCTGCTAGCACCATCAATCCCCCGGGGAAAGCCGGGGCTGGGAAGAGGTGTGTTGTTTACCAGCAAGCGCTCAGAGAGTTTCCAATGTGTTTCTGTTCCAGCTTCACCTGGTCTGCGGCGAGGACGGACCGAAACGTCATCACGGTCCTCTCGGGCCAAGTGGTGGAGGCATTTGACAAGCAGTTCCAGGAGCTATACCTCATGTCCAAGGGGGTGAGCCTCAAGTCCATCTCCGTGGGTGAAGAGCCCGAACCCGAGCCCGTAACACTGCCCTCCATCGTGCCAGTGACCCCCGCCAACGCCGTGGTAAAGAAGCTGATAAACCCTAAGTACGCCCTGGTGAAGGCCAAGAGCGCCGACCAGATCAGCAAGACTTCATCCGAGAACCAGGACAAAACCCAGAAGACAGACAACAAAGGCAAAGCCCTGCCCGAGGGCCAGGCGGGCGACAGGCAGGGCGACGCGGCGGACCTCTCCCTGCTCATCCACCCCGGCCTCCTGAACCTGGAGAAAGCCAACATGTTTGACTACCTGCCCACCTGGGTCGAGCCTGACCCTGAGCCTGGGAGCGAAGTTTTGGGCTACATCAACATTATTGACCCCAAGATAAAGAACGTGAAGCTCTCGCAGATGAACCGCATCAAAGTCTGCGATGTCTCCCAGGCCAGCGCCCAGCACCGACAGATGCTGAAGAACAGGGAGATGGAGACCAGGAGAAACTCAGACCAAGAGCCACCTCTGGTGCCCCCCTGCCAGAGACAGACCCCACAGACCCCCATGGAAGCTCCTGCAGACCCCGCCCCCAGCCCCATCAAAGGCACCAACTGGACAATGAAGCAAGCAGGAACGTTTGCTGCGTCACCCTTGGGCCACCGCTTGAAGCCACCAGAGGAGACACTGGAGGACACCAAGCCTCCAGTTCCAAAGCCGAGGACAATCCCCGTTGGTGTCTTCATGACCAAAGTCATTGTGCCCTGTGACAGCAGCACTGCCCCGGAGGGTGACAGGCAACCACCGCCGGCTGACCACGCAGAAGCAAGGCAGGAACCGGAGGAGAACCCCAACAGAGCTTCAATGGACCCCGGCCATCTTCAGCCAGACCGGCCGGCGGCAGGGCCACAGGAGGTCAAAGGGCCTCCCTGCGCCCTCAACGGGCTGGGAGAAGAGGAGGAGGAGGAGGAAGAGGAGTACATCACTCTCAGTGACCAGGAGAGCTACTCCAGCAGTTCTGCTGACCACAGCTACCGCCGCTCCAACGCCTCCTCCATCTCAGACGAGTACTTCGAGGTGAGGGATCGCTACGGGCCGCTCCGGCGAACCAACTCGGATGTCACCCACAATGGGGAGATCCTTCCCATGCAGAGGAAGCTCAGTGACCCTCACATCAGCCGGGGCACCTTCCTCAGCCCCCTGGGGAGCCTCCCGTCCTTGAAGCACGTGCGCGTGGAGGACGTGACAAAGAGGAGGAGCAACGCCGTGGAGATTAGGTGCGTGCTGCCCCGCACCAACCTGGATGGCAACAGCTCCTACCCCAGCAGTGCCACGCAGGTAGGACTTTTTGTTATAACCTTCCCCTACGTTTCTCCACCCTGTGAAGGTTGCAAACCTGGAGGTGACACAGCCAGCTCAGCCAAGGCGTGGTGTCATCCTTAGCTTTGGTGTTGCGTCCCAGATGCTGAGATCAGACATCCCATATGGGAGAATAATGCCCTGCTACAGGGTGATGGTAGGAGTCACCCAAGAGGAGCTCTGGGTTGGGAAGGTGGTGGTCATGACACAGCTCTTGGTGTCTGGGAGTGTAATGGGAATGGTGTAAAGGGAGTTTTTTAGGAATTAAAGATTATTCCGTGGATTCAGGCTGTGGGACAGAGCCCAGCGGCTCCGGGCACAGCAATATGGCTCTGTCCCACAGCCCATCAGCAGTGGCATCATGCCCAGCCAGGGACAGACTGTGCGTGCAAGCATGTCCTTCTCAGGCTTGTTGTCTAGCTCCTTGCAAAGGAGATTAGCATCAAAGTAAAAGCACTCGGACACATAATTAGGCAGAGCAAGACAGTGGAGAAACAGGGACAGCAACTCTGCGGGCGCGCGTTGCAGTCAGCAGCTTCGCGCCTGACCCACGAGTGACGCCAGCCCTTGTCACCCCACGAGGTGCACGCCAGCATCCCCGCTGCAGCGGGAGCGTCGCCTCATCCAGGCAGGGGAAAAAAGTCGCAGGGTCAATCCCCTATTTCCACCCAAGCGCTGTAGCTTCTTGCACCACTACCAAGTATTTTTGGTTTCTCAAGGCTCCTCACTCAGAGTCTGCAGGGGCATCCAAACCCCGAGGGCTAAATCAGCAGCTGAAACCACTGGAGCCACCTGAGGTTACCCCAGACGAGCACCTAATCTGTGTTTACAGGGAATTAAATTTACTAACCCAGAGTCCACTTGCTTCTTTCTCCCTTCCCAGATGGTAACACAGAGCTCAGAGCAGGGTGTTACTCCTCACACATCAAATACCCCCTCCTGCCCTGCGGAGCCGTGCAGGGCGAGGAGCAGCAAGCCCTTTGATGCTCTGTGACCCAGGTCCCAGGTGCCACCTTGCTCAGAGTACGTTGGTGTTCCTGCAATAACTTGTTCTGGCCCTTTCATCAGAGGTGGATAATTGACATGCCGTCAGGGTTGGAAAAGCCAGCACTCAGCTGATGGAAATGTGCAGAGAATAGTTTCTCCCATGTGTAAAAAACAATAAACCAAAGCAATCCTTGATTAACTCTCTAGAAACCTCAAATCCAACAGGAATCACCATCAACCCCCACCAAACATTTCTATTCTGGGTCCACCTTTCTTATGTGCTGGCCCGTAGCCTAAATCGCAGGCGGAGGCTCACTCCGGGCAAACATCACCAGAGGTGGATAATTGACATGCCGTCAGGGTTGGAAAAGCCAGCACTCAGCTGATGGAAATGTGCAGAGAATAGTTTCTCCCATGTGTAAAAAACAATAAACCAAAGCAATCCTTGATTAACTCTCTAGAAACCTCAAATCCAACAGGAATCACCATCAACCCCCACCAAACATTTCTATTCTGGGTCCAGTCCACCTTTGTGCTGGCCCGTAGCCCAGAGTAGCCTAAATCGCAGGCGGAGGCTCACTCCGGGCAAACATCACATCTTCCCTCATGCTGAGCAGCCGAGTTATCCCTGGAGCATTCCCTTGCCTAAATACCTGCAACCCTCGTTGCACCGGGCTGCACAGGTAATAGGGGATGGTTGGGTTGGCTGATGCATGGCAGGCACAGGGAGAGCACCTCTCCTGTCCCTCTCCCTCTTGCACAGACCCCAGGCTTGTGCAGAGCAGAGGTTTCCAGACAAGCCCCCATCCCGTTCCTTGCTTACTGACAGGGAAAATACCCATCCTGCCAGCTCCGTGCCGGCACGGCAGGGCCCTTACCTGGGTACAGGACCCTGCTGATCATCCCCGGCATGATGATCACGAACAAGGGCAGCATCTTCAGGTAGCTGGCCAGGATGGAGCCGGCCTTGGCGTGACTCAGGCTCTTGGCAGAGAGCGACCGCTGGACGATGACCTGTGGGAGAGCCAGGCCGGATGGCTGAGCAGCCACCGACACCTCCTAGTCCACATCAGCCTCCTCCTTGCCAAACTGCACCCCAAGCACCCCCAAACGCTGTAGCCATCGGGCATCAGGCCCAAATGCAGCGTAGATGTGTACCCAACCCACGGGCTGGGTTTCTCTCCAGACCACCAACGGGTCGGTGTTACTCCACAGCACCACAAAAGCCCAGTGCAACCTCGGCAGCGTGTCCTCCCGCCAGTATCCACCATTTCCCACAATCCTCTGCCCCTTCTCTTCCATCTCCTCCCGAAAGAGCACCCACAATAAAAGGGACGCTGAACCCAGACGCCTCCTACCACACCTCCACCACCCAGACTGCTCCAACCATCACACCTCAAGGCTCTGGCCAAGCCATGTCCATCCGTGATACAGCCCTTGGGCTTTGAGGCAAGCTCTCTTAAATATGCAACCTCCGTGGGAAATGCTGACTTTAAACGAGCCCAGGCTCTCCCCAGGGGCTTACGGAGAAACGCTCAGCACCCAGCAGGATTCGGCTGCTCCAGAGCAAGCACTGGCTCATGCCATGGTGGGCAGGAGGGACCGGGTGCTGGTTCCTGGGGCAGGATGCTCAGGGAAACTGTGGTTTAACTCCTGCCCAAGAGCCAGAGCAGGTCAGGAGCTGCACGACCCACTATCCTGCTCCGTCACCATGTGCCCCACAGCAGGCACATGATGACCTTGAAGGGAGAGGAGCTAAATCCCCCTTAGCCCTCCCCACCTGAAGACACCTCAGACCTTAGCGCTGGTTTTAAGCAACACAGTTAAATCAATCTAGCATTACCCAGGCTAAACTGCTTTAACACAGCCCTCCTGGCCAACGCCGCAGGCGTCTGCCTGAGGACCAGAGAGGCCATTGGGATATTCGGACCAAACGACTGAACACCGAGATGATGCCAACAGCACGGCGGAGGTGCAGAGCTGGCGGCACAGCGGGGGTCTCGGCAGAGCCAGGGCAGGTTGGTGCAGCCGGCTCCGCAGCCTCCCAGCCCCAGCTCGTCCTGCCCTCAGCACCTGCACTCCCTAGATCCGATCTCGCCCGGGTATGTCTGCACGGGGTGCAATCAACCTCCAGATCGTGGCGCAGACACACCCCAAGAGGGAGATAAATATCTGGTGACCACAGCCATGTGTTAAGGCTTTAACCCAGTCCAGAACTGAGATCAGTGGTGCTCAGACCCGATCCAAACGCGTCTCTCAACCCAGCTAATCAGAGCCGCTCCCGCAGTGGTGTTGCAGCTCACTTGCCTCCTGATCCCACCTCCTCTCCCAACCCTCCATCCTTTCATCTAATCTTGGTAGTCACCTAACCCCACAGGTTTGATGGCTGGCTGAATGCTCCCTGGGCCCAAAATGAGTGCTTCGATGTCTGAGATGGGTGTTCAGGCTGCAGCTGGAGAGAAGGCCTTGAGATGCCGCTGGCATCCTTGGTCCTGGATCTCCAGACTACCATGCCTTGGCCTGGGACAACCTCTGGACTGCCTGGGCTGCTTGGGAAGTGGCTGCTGAGATGCTGTGATGTGCAGGCAGTGGTTGCCAGAGCAAGAAATCACAGGGGCAGCAACGGTTAAGACTGGGGGCAGTTTGGAGCTGCCACCACTCTCAGAAGAATTTGGGCAAGGGGGTACACCCAGCAGCAAAGGGACTTGTCTGTGAGGACCAAGCCCACAGCGCAGACACGTGAAGGGGTGTCTGTGCAGGGTACAGCATCCTCATACCAGCAGTAGCTCATCTCTTCTTCTGCTCTTTAACAAACAGGGGACGCACATCTACCGTTACCGGCCCAGGAACCCCGCAGGCAAAGAACCAGGCAAAGAGATCTCCTGCTCCCCAACGCATGAAAACCCCCCCGGGGGCCCCAAATACAGAGGGGATGGAGCTGAGCCCAAAAAGACCATTGCAGGCAGCCAGCCCTATTGGCAGAGCAAAGTCTTCAGCCCCAGCAAGCCACCGCAGCCCGGCCACCTCTCCCCAAACAACCCCAGAGCATCCAGCAAACGCTTAACCTCCCTGCCGGAAAGCCAGAAGCCAACCGAGGAGATGAGGACACCCCTGGGCATCCCGCTCTCCAAACTGTCCCAATCCAAGCACCTCAAGAACAGGGTTGCGGGAGCCCCAGGTGCTTCTACCGACTCCAAAAAGAAGCCCCCCGAGACCACCAGCCAGAAGGAGCACTAGGCACTGCTGCGGGCGGACTGGCAGGGCGAGAGCGGCAGTGGAACGTGTGGGGACCCCAGGCCACGCCGCGTTACAGGGGCAGGGGACTCTTGTTTACATCTACCTGGTCGGTGCACCAGTACCACGTGGCCATGATAGACAGCCCGAAAGTCATCCCGGTCCAGGGTAGATCTCCAGAGACTGGATCACGGAAGAGGTGCATCGCATCCGCTCTGGGCAGGTGGCAGGTAGTGTTGGGAACAATCTTGGATGGCACGGCTTTTAAATAGGCCTCTTCCAGGTTGGGGTAACCTCCGATCTCACTAAAAGCTGGAAAAGCATCATTGGGGGAGGCTGGTTAGGGCCGAGCAAAGCCCGGTGGCAAAACGCTCGCCAACGCGTTCGCTCGGAAGTGCTGCTCAGAGAGGGAGGGCTCGTCTGCGACCGCGTTTCCTTCTAGTTATTTAAGAGACTCTTCTATTAACAATTTGCACAGCAGGTCCCACATTCTGCCCTCCCTTCGGAGGGTGACCCATGTCCTGGGACACGGGCCTCTCAAGGGACCCACCTCTTTTGATCTTGTACTGTAAAAGCAACCTGTTTATTAAAGCTCCCCAGCCCCAGAGCAGGGGAAACTTGCCTAGGACTATTAAAATGAGAGATTATGTAGCCTTTGACTTGATACACTACAGCTCAAGGCGTCTTGGAACAAGCGTCTGGTCAAACCTTTTTCTAACCCTCAGAGAGTTTCTCCAGCACCCCCCATGCAGCTCCATCCCCAAACCTCCAGCAAACAGCATTAAAAACCCGCTATGTATCTATATATATGTAAAAGCCCCTCTTCACTGCATCTTTCCTAGGAAATGGGATCTGAGGTCTGGGTCTCAGCCTGAGCCCCGCTGAGCAGTAGGTGCCATGAACAAGCCCTAGCACGCGAGCCTCCGAGCCCTTGGCAGCGGCCTGGGTGCTCCTCCTGCCTGCTCCGCTGCTGCCAACCACTGCGGGCTCTGCCCCGGCCCCCCACCGCCTCCCCCTTTGGGGGACACGGGCTGAATGCTTCTTGCGGCTCCCCCGGTACCTCCAGCAGGAGAATTCTGGAGCCAGATGCATGGCTTTTTAGAGGGAGGGATAGGAGGTACGCGTCCACTCCCCCCACATGCCGTGGCCACACACGCAGCGGCCGTGGAAGACGTAAGCGGAGGGCTGAGTTGGCACCCCCATGCCCACAGCAGCTGCTGACGCTCGGGAGAGGAGAGGAGGCTCTGGGACCTGCACTGGGCTCATGGAGGGGAGACTCAAAGCAAGACCCATGATCGCCCCTTGGTGGGCTCCTCCCCCAGTCCGGTTCAGCCCTCACATCCCAGCATCCCTCCGCCCCACCCCGTGGGCTGAGGTCCAGACCCTCAGCTTGGTCTCCTCCAACGCAGCAGCGGGGGTTGGGAACGTGCTCCCAACATGTCACACTGCTGTCTTTAGTCCAAGAGCAAATCCCTCGGGCATCGGGTGCTGGACACTGGGATCACCATCAAGAGCCAGCTTGGGCAAATCCCAATTTCCAAGACACCCGTCCTGCTCCGTTGTCCCTTCGTGCCCGAGGACAGCCCTCTCCCTGCAGCCCCCCCATTTCTAACACCAACCCGCAGCCCTGTCCCGGTCTCAGGTCATTGCCCTGTCCTGAGGCTTTTGGGGAGTCTGCAAAGGGGCATCATCCCCCATGCCCCCGCCTCTGCAAACCGGCCCCTGGTATTTCACGGGGCGCCAGAGTTTGGAAACTCCTCCTGCTCTTGCGCAAGCAACCCTGGCCCCGCTCCAGCGCTTGGTTTATCCAGGCACCGGCTACTCCCAAGCTTTGCATGGGCGTTGGGCACCAACAAAGGCTCTCCAGGGGCAGAGGGCGAGCGCTGAAAGCCAAGATTCGCACCCGGGGGTGCGGGCCAGCTCCCTGCCCAGCGGTGTTTGCAGACAAGTCACGACACCTACGCTCGCTGGGACGGAGGAGCGGAGCAAAAACCTCAGGGCAGCGGCAGGAGGGCAGGGGCGGCTCAGCCTGCAGACGCCAGGCTGCAGCCCGCGGGCTCTGCCGCGATTAACATCCCCGTGGTGAAGGCCAAGTGGGGTGCGGGATGGCACAGTCCTCTTATCCGGGATGCTGGAGCTGAGCAGAACCACCGCCAGCACCACTGCCTGCCAAAACAGCCATTAGCTCCCATCTGAGGTCTAAGGCTTGTCTACGGCCCCTCAGTCTGTACCCACTTGTCTGACTCAAGGCTGTTCTGCCCAGCATCGCACCCGAGAGGATTTGCACAACCTTGCTCAGGAGATGCGACCTCGGAGCCAAGCGCTGCGCTTTTTTATCCCTTCAGCAGCCCCAGAGGAGGCAACGGGCCAGGCAGAGCAGACCCAGAGTGATCCCAGCTCAGCAGATGAGCGTTAGCATCACTGCTGCTGCTGACATGGTCTGACGATGCAAACAAGGCCAATCACATTCCGTATCCTTTATTAGAGGAGCTTGATGACAGCTGGATGAAAGCGAGCACCAGCCTCCTGGTCCTGAGGTTTCCCAAGACCCAAGGAAAACTACCGTGTGACCAGCAGCTCGTCTTTCGGTTCCCCTGGATCAGCCCCTCTCCACACGCACTGTGCCATGCTTCCAGGTTGGCAAAGTCAAAGAAAGCCGGGCTCTGCAGGCACAGGAGGGGATTTTCCAGGCCTTGCCTACCTGCCCTCCTGCTCTGGCTTTGCCTTGCTGCACCCAGCCCAGCTTAGCAGACACAAGCCTCAGGGAGCCCCACGGCCAGCTACAGCTTCAGACAACGATCAGCAACATCCAAGCACCCAACACGAAGGCTGCGGCCGCTGCTTGGCTCTGCTTGGGCAGGCAATGTGCTCCTCTGCCCGCCGCAGCTCCCGGCTTCTGCTGGTGTAATTAGTGTCCCTTCTCCAGGAAGTATCTGTCCTTTCATTTGGTTTCTGTAAATAGAGCTTGCTGCACGCAGGGCTCACCCAGGAGCAAGCTCTGCTGCTGCACAGGGGAGCAGCCGCAGGTCTGGAGCTGCTCCCACCTCCAAGCAGAGCTGCTGGGCAGCGGCGGCGGCTCAGAGTCTTTCCTACCTGCCCATCCAAACAGACTTCTGCAGGAGATGGTGGAAAACATCTCCTGAGTGCCTCTGGAAATCGTCCTCTGTAGTTAAGGACCTGCCTTTGAAGCTGGGACCTGACTTTTTGCCTCCTACTCCTCAGGGCCAAGAGCCCCGGTGGCAGAGCATGGCTGATGAAAGCTCCCCAAGGGTGCTCTGCAGCTAAATGCACGGAGAGACAACAGTGCCAAGTGTTTGGAAAGGGCTGGAGATGAACCCTGCTCACCCCGACCAGGAGGAAGGCACAGCACCATGCCCTGCATCCCCCAGCAATCCCTGCAGCGGGACCAGCACCAGGTTCTGCCGTGCACCTCCCCGTGCAGAGGGATCCTGTCGGAAGACCCCACTGCAACGCTGCTGCAAGCATCCCGGAGCAAAACTGGGAATGCTGCCTCGCTGTCACACGCTCCATCGGTTTCTCAGAGTTCATGGACCAGAGGCAAACATGCAGAGCAGTGATGACCACAGGAAGGTCACCAGTGCTGGGGACAGCCCCACAGGGAGGACCAGGAATACTTCAGGGCACCATCACACAGAGGAATGGCACGTCGGGGAGGCACAGTGGCAGAGGGGACGCAGGGGGACCACAGACTTCCTTTAGGTGATTAGTACTGGCCAAAGCCTTGCTGGGCATCTTGGCCACTGAATCCTCAGACGGAGTCTTCTTATTTATTTCTGAGACCACCCAAGTGGGGAGAGAAGGTCCCCTGGAAGGAGCTGTGCTGTCCCAGCTCTTACCTTTCACTGCCAGCATGATGGCTCCGAGGACCATGATGAGTGTCTGCAGGGTGTCGGTGTAGATGACAGCCGCCAGCCCCCCTGCATGAGAGCAAGGAACAGTGTTGGGAATGCTGTCAGCTTCAGGCTCAGCTTGGATCAGTTGCAAAGTCCCAATAAAGCTGCCTGTGCCAACAGGCCTGTAACCAGCCTCATCCTGCCGACACGGC